CTTATGGCTTCTGAATCAAATCACAATGTCATTTCCATGAATATATAAAACATCATCAGAGTTGGAAGGAACCTGGAGATCTTCTAATCCAACCCCCTGCTTAAAAGGAGAATCTATACCATTTCAGACAAATGGCTGTCCATCTCTTCTTAAAAGCCTCCAGTGATACTGTAGACTTTTGAAGGCAAGGCATTCTACTGGTTGATTTTTCTCACTGTCAGGAAATTTCTCCTTAGTTCTAGGTTGCTTCTCTCCTTGATTAGTTTCCATCCATTGCTTCCATCCATTTTTGACCCCTTCTTTTTTGTGGCAGCCCATCATATATTGGAACACTGCTATCATGCATGTGTGTCACTATGATTGATGTTATTTGCCCTATTTTATAGATACCCATGTTCACATAATACAAAACTGGATAAAATAGTAGATGAGGCCTAGAGCTAAATGGAAACAGCATCTTTTTGCTGCACCTCGTTTCTATTTTGCTCATGCACAGTTAAATATTACATTGAAGTTCCATTTATTTTGATTTGTAAAATTGGAACATTGCTTTGAATTTCCTTTCTATATTGTTTGTTTTGGTGAGCGAAGTCTATTCTCCTGTGACAAAATGACAAACAATGCCTCTTTAGTTTTCCAGTTCATAAATAAAATACTTAATATGTCCTTTATATGATTACTCACAAATAAACCTAGGAGGGTCACTGGGAGCTTTTTCAATTAGCAACTCTTATGAGGAAATATGTTTTTTTCATGATTCAGATTTAATGAGGCTAAATGCAAATAGGTTAGTGGGGATCTAAAGGGCTTCTTCAACAAAGGCCATTCCAGGGTGGCTTTCAACAAAATATATGTGGCGAGTTTGGGATAATGTTTTGGGTCTTTGTGGGACACCACAAAGAAGCATCAAAATTTAAGACTGTATTTAGAAGTAAGGAGCCCACAGGCCAGAGGGAACCCTGGTTCTATTTCAACAAGACTCAAAAGTTCCCAAATGCCGAAATCCAGCAATCAAAGGCAATTTAGGGCTATGAGATTTTTCACTGTTCTCCCCCCCCCCCCCAAAATCAAAGCACTAAAATACAGTCTGGTAAACACATTATACCTAATTTGAAGAAAGTTCCCCAGACTGCCCTACCAAAGACCCTGAATGATCAAAAGGTTTTAGCTCCACATTTTTGGGTGACCTCCTTCTATTACTGTCCTGCCATGACCCCTATGAACCCCGGGGGCCAGTGTGGAAAGATTGCTTGCTCATCCTGTAAACTGACAGTGGCATCTCATTTTCTCTTAACCAGAAACAAAGGCTCTGGATGAGACACATTTCTTTGTTAATAATGCAGTCTGTGTTATTTTTCCACCTCTCCAAGCACTGTAATGGCGAAATCTCCTCCCCCTCGCACATGCTACATTCTAATGCATTTATGAAGCCATGACAGAGCTAATGGTGTTAGAAACAGAGGCTCCACACAGTCTGGCAGCATTGTAATTGCTGTTTCATGCTGCTGGCCAAAACAGGCAGCTGCCGGACTTTCTCTTTTTCCAGAATGCCTCCCTTCGCCCCTCCCCCCCAATACTCATTTAGGCAATTGAGCACATTTTGGGTTCAAGTAGAAGCAAACTCTCCCACCGAGTGATAATTGCTAAGTTTTTATACAGCAGCTTTATACAGCAGCAACTAGCATTCTCGTTGAACTGTTTTTAATTTTCTTTTAAGAGCTGCATAATCCACTCGGTGAAGCTGAAGTCGCTGAGTGGATTAAGAAGGTAAACATAAAATAAGACAGACAAATGAGGTTTTCAGATTTCCTGGGGCGGGCCTAAATCTCTGATGCCTGAAAGGAGGATTCGGGGATGAAGCTGTGCAATGACAGACACACAAGAGGAGGAAGTGCTCCTGGCAGAAATCTAGAATTACAGTATCTCCAACAGGTGGCTATACAGGAGCCATTTTAAGCCACCCCTAGCCCCTCCCAGGGCCATTCACTCCATTGGTCGCTTATTTTGATCATCAAGAAAGGGATCTTGGTTTGCAAGCATGCCATTTTATCATAATGCTTTTATTAACATGTATTATTTTGTTCTTTTCTTTTTTGTATGTAAAATCACTTTTCCCCATAAAACTTTTTTTTCACAATTTAATTTTACAATTTTTATTTATTTATTTGATTTCTATAGCCGCACAATTCAACAAGTGACTCTGGGCAGGCATACATCATAAAACAATTCAAAATAAATGTACATGGCCACCGAGTAGAATTAAGGACACAGATATTAATATGGATCTTGCATACACCTAATCAATTTTAAATGTAATGCAGAATGGTTAATCTGTGTGAAATTCAAAGATATTCTCTTTCAGAGTGGTGGTGGCACAGTGATTGGAATGCAGCATTGCAGGCTAATTCTGCTGACTGCCAGCAGTTTGATTTCACCGGTTCAGGATTGACTCAGCCTTCCATCCTTCCAAGGTCGGCAAAATGAAGACATAGATTGTTGGGGGACAATATGCTGATTCTGCAGAACCACTTAGAGAGGGCTGTAAAGCACTGTGAAGCGGTATATAAGTCTAAGTGCTATCGCTGGTGCTATTAATGGAGAATCATTGACTCATAAGATTAGAGGTGACCTTGTAAGTATTTGGAAATTGGAAGTGATCTTGGAAGTTCAACCCTCTGCCCAGTGCAGGAATCCTCAGATCATCCTAGACAAATGACAGTGGGAGATCCATGGAAATATCTCTTATTTGATGAATCATATTGCAATAGCCTTCATGGAATCATCTTCCAACCTGTATGCACATACACCCCACCATCAAATTTACAAACATAGTACACAGGCACTTAATAACCAGGTTTCAAGTGTAATCTTAGAATTACAGAGCTGGAAGGTCATCAGGTCATCAGAGTTAATCCTCCCTCTAAAGGAATCCAAATTAAAGCATCCACGACAGATAATTTTTCAGTTTTAGCTTGAGTATATCCAGCAAAGGGAAGCCTGCATCTCTTTAAGTAATTGAACTGCTTTTGCCCTTAGGAAGATTTCTGTAGCTTCCCAATGGAATCTGCCTTCCTCAAGGTTGACCGTTCTTTTGCATTCTGTGGTTAGCTTGAGTCTTCCTTCAATGTGGTACTCCTTTAATATAGTAATTCTTTCAGCCCATATCTCTTTTAAGAAAGGTAAATTTAAATACTTTAGGATTCTGACATCCCTAGAGTTCAGAGGCTAGATAACTGAATTTTAAGGACTTCAAAGTCTGGCCATTTTTTTTGTTTTTCCCATCATCCAGAAGAATGGTTTCTTTCTGAATAATACAATAATGGGAATGGCTGAAAGAGATGAAAGGCTTCACATCCGACTTAGATCCTCTGATAAGTAAAGCTTTCTTGCTCCACACCCCATTTCAGATTGTTCAGAAAAATCCCATGATTCTTTACAGACATTTTTTTCTTTCATAAAGGGATTTAGGTAACCCCAGGGAGGAGGAAGGATAGGCAACCCTTTTAGGATATTCCTGAAAATAACTTTATTCAGGTTTCCAGCTCTCATTCTGAATCAATCAACAAAGTGAAAATTAAATAATGGAAAAGAAAAATATGATTTGGATTATTGTCATTTCCAGCTGAAACTGGAAATGTCATATTTGATGTTTTTTTGCTATGGGAGTGAAACTGAGTAGGTACATTGAACAAAAAATTATCAGACTTGTTTTTTTAAATTTAAGCAAGCCAAATAATAGCAGCAGGTTGACTGCTTTGTAAGTCTTCCATTTTGGAATGCCTTTAACATACAATACTCACTGAGTTTGGTCATTGTCAGTCTTTTGTTACCAGACTAGTTAACATTTTTAGTGCTAGAAGGGAGTGGGGTTTGCTGTCTGTTTAGATACAGTAGCTTGACTTATCATTGTTGGTGGGGGGTGATTTTTTTTCTTGGTAGTTCCTTGATTAGGGTAGTGTTTATTGATTGTTCGTATGGTGTTAATCCTGATGTTGGTTTTAATCCCTGCTTATCTAGGGATTGATTGATGATTACCCTAATCAATGAACTAGCAACTCATACAAACAACCAACACTCATGGGGCAAGCTACTGTATATAAATGGTGAGCAAACCCTAGTCCCTTCTAGTCCTGAAGGTATTACCTAGTCTGGTAACAAAATGTCTGCAAACAAATCATCAAACTCAGAGAGCACCAAGGACTCCAGGGTTCAACCCTGAGCTAAATATATTATCTTCTACATACAATTTGGAAACTACAAGGATAAAGAAAAAGTAATTTGAATAGCCAAGAGGTGGAACAGCCCATTCAAAAACCACAGGCTTGAAAGAGGTACTATTAAGCTTGTCTGGACAGCTATAAACAGATTACAGTTGAGTTATGCTATCCACTCCTGATTAGCTTCCTTTTCTTCTCAAAAGGCACTATCCATATTGGGGGAGGAAGGCTTCCAAATACTGTATTTCATCTATATATTTACTAAAACTCTTGTGTCTGTAACCTTCAACTGGGTGAGATGGGGTATCATAAGGCAAGATTTTTTTAAAAACCCAGGGACCTCAAATAGCCTAACTTATAGAGTGCATCTAAAATCCAGGACCCATGATTCCAATGGAATTGAAATTTGGCAATTTTAATAAAGTATTTAATGACATAAAATGACCCTAAAATATTTTATGACATAATACAAAATGTATCACAAAAATATTTCCTGTGATCAATTCCTGATGTTCAACTGTCCTACATAGTTCAACTAGGATTACTTTCAAGGCAAATACATTTTTTAATATCTCCCCCATTTTTAAGAACTTTTCAGGTAAATTAAAAGCTCTGACATTGCTGCACACATTGAGGAATCTGGTAAGAAAATCTCTCTGAAATGATGGTTTTGAAAGGCCAAGAGTTGCCCAGTGTTATTTAGACTTGAAAAACCAACAATTTCCATCCTTTGGCAAAGTCCCTTTGGCACATGCCTGACTGCTGTTGTTTCTGCACTAACAGCAGGATTTCAGACAGCTATCAAGTGTGGAAGAAATTTCAATCATGTTGCTGATGCAAATTAGATGTGACTGAAGTAACCTACTGTCCTGCCAACCTGGGCTCATCAAACACCCATTCCAAGAGTCCGTGCTGTCTCAGGTAATTGCAGTTGACATCAAATATATCTGGAGGGTGACAGGTTGAAGAAAGCAGGTTGGAAGTTCTAAATTAAGGTTAAAAAGGTTTGAATCTCATTACAGGGTTCTTCCACTTTTATTGATACTCTTTGCACTTTTGTACCACTGAAAGTTTTCATTAGCAGTTAGGTATATTTGCAATTCTCACTACCTCTGTGGCACCTGCTATTGGTTTGCTATTGACATGGAGAGGTTTTCAAATACAAAATAGTATTTCCAGTAACAGAAGTATTTATTGATGGTGTGGGCACACCTCTGCTGCAGTGGTTCTCAACCTTTTTAATGCCGCGACCCCCAACCGGTTGTAAGTCGAGAACTACTCAACCGGTCATAAGTCGAGGACTACTCAACTGGTGCAGCACCGTTTGCAGAATGGGACTTTTGGCGGGCTCAGCAGGGCAGAGACAGCCTGGACAATTCCTATTGGCTTTTGAAAGCCAATAGAATTAGATTCTATTCAAGAGAGTCTATTGTATTGGCTTTCAAAAGCCAATAGAATAAAAGGGAGTAGCACAGCTAAGGAAAAGGAGGAAAAAATGGCTGACTGCATTGTTTGGCGACCCCTGTGAAATGGTCGTTTGACCCCAAATAGGGTCCCGACCCACAGGTTGAGAACCACTGCTCTACTGCATTTTAGTATAAGATCATATTGCAGTAAGATAAATGCTAGTGAAAAGGCTTTTGAAATTATATCAGTCTTGTTATATACTCTCACATAAAGTAAAATAACACCATTATCAGTCAATCTGTTTGGAAAGATAACTGCTTTCTAAATATTTCCACCCTTCTTTTCCATATGTGTACACATATACAGAAAAATAATACTACTGATTTTTATAAATAATCCTTCCTTCCTTCCTTCCTTCCTTCCTTCCTTCCTTCCTTCCTTCCTTCCTTCCTTCCTTCCTTCCTTCCTTCCTTCTTTTCCTTTCCTTTTTCATTGCTAATACAATTCCAAAACAGGAATTTTAATTATGATGTAGTAGATGGGGAGAAATCCCTACCCCCAAATTAAAGAAAAGAATTGAAACAAATTTGTCAATCAAATTAATCTGATATGGAAAGACACCATTAAAGCCTGTAAAAATCAAATCGGGTCTCCCAAGAATGTGGGAAGAGCAATAGTATTATGAATGCAGTAACAGAATTATGGATCTAGAGATGCTCTTATGAGATCCGGAGAGCTCAGTGCATGCATGCAAAAGTGCATGCTTCATTATTTATGATCAAGCAGCCAGTGATCTCCCTCAATAGATCCCAAATATCTACTTTTATAGCATATTAATTATGAATCTTAAGTTTTTTCATCATACACTTGTATGAGGAAAAGTAGGAAGAGTTACAGCAATAATCTAAAAGACACTACTGTTGTCTGATAACATTTTATCCTTTACTAACAGGAGGCATAAAAGATTCTGTCTTGTGTGCATAAGGTCCCAAATTTAATCTGAGGTGTCTCTAAGCATAGCAGAGCAGTTTATATGAAACATTTTCTTCTCAGAGCCAGACAGATAACACTGAGATAAATGAACGAATTATCTGACGATAAAGCAGCAACAACTCACCATTCATTCACTCTGGCTGTAAATTCCCAATAATTTTTCTATAATATGAGAAGCTCTGGAATAAGAACATTTTCCAATAGAAGAAAATATACGTAGCTCAGTGTTGAACTGTACAGTCTTGGTATTCTCTGAGGTTGGTTGTTTGCTTGCAGACATTTCATTGCCTGTAGCTTCTGGGATAAGAACTGAAAAATCTTCAAGGAAAAAAGCAAAGAAAGTCCAGTTGCCATTTCTGCTTTGATTGTTGCCTGCTATTAATTCCTGCTTATCTGGATGTTGGCTACTGAAGAGGATGTGTTCTGGTTTTTTCTTTCTTTCTTAGTTTTTTTAATGTGTTTTTTGAATGGTGTGTAACTATGGTTTATTTCTATGTGTGCATTGGTGACTGATTTGTTTGGGTACCAAGCTTGCAAGTAATTCCCTAGTATTTTTGGATTCTGCTTGGTCTAGGATGCTCATAGTTTCCCAGTTGAAACAATGGTTGAGTCTGTCCATGTGTTGTGAAATTAAAGAGTTTGCATGTAGACTTCTGAGTGTTAATTAGTTGTTCATGGATGCATTGCTAGTCTTCTGCCTGTTTGTCTTATATAATGGTGGTTACAATCCTTACGCTGTACATGACTCCTGATTATTCTTCTTGGGCTACTGGGTCTTTCAGTTTACTTAAGAGGTTTCGGAAGCCTTAGTTGGTTTCTGTGCTACAATGATACCATATAGTTGTAATAGTCCTTTGGTTGTTTCTGAGATGTTTTCAATGAATGCTAGTGTTACTCTTTCCATAGCTTGTGTCATTGTGCTCTAATGGGTTGAGGTTCATTTTTTTTAAAAAAACACAAATATTAAAAGTTTTTTTCTTAATATAAAATACAAATAGAAATAAAGAAAATGAAAAAGGGGGAAAGGAAAGGGGAATGGTAGCTGAAGTGAAGAAAGAAAAAAGAAAGAAACAAAAAGCAGTGACTTCCAACTTTGTTCAGTACATTAATATACATAATACAGTTATAATATCAACTTTTTACTTATTTAAAACAGTAAATACTAACCATTTTTACAACCAGAATCTACTTAATCACCAAAATCCAAAATCAAAATTTCATTTTTTTTGTCTTTTGAGCAGAAAATCCAGAAGGTCTTTCCAAAGTGGAAACAAAACTATTTACATTCTTTCCCCTAATTAATGCAGTTAATGGTCAGATACTTCTTGATAAAGTTGTGTGAGTATCCATTTTGTTGGAAACTACATAGACAATCCCAAAGGTGGTTTTTCAAAAGGCAACTGGACTTTCTTTGTTTGAAGACATTTCATTTCTCATCCAAGAAGCTTCTTCAGTTCTGACTGAATGGTGAAGAATGGAAGGAGTTATATTCCTTACAATCATCTGGTCTTTAGCATTGTCTCTGAGAGTCATTGAGGCCACTTGGATGTTTATCAGTGCTCTCAGGATCACCTGAATACTGTAGTGCAACCTTCTTGGAACTGCTGAAAGGACTGTGTTGTAAAAAGGAGATAGGTGATGTCTTATCCTCCCCCTCTGTTGAGAGAGGGTTGTTCAATTTTAATGTACTCTTTGACTCCTTTTTCAAACCAATGGTCCTCTCTGTCCACAATTTCCTTTTTCTGGTATTCTGAATTGCTGTAGCATGTTTGAACTCTGAAAAATGTTTTTACAATACAGTAGCTCATCTTGTGGAGAGTTGTTACTTTGATAATGAAGCATTTGGTTAGTGTGGCTGGTTTTTCAATAAATTTCTGTTTCTAACTTGCCATATTTCCTCTGTTGATAAGGATATCCACGAAGTATAATATGTTGTTGTTCTGTCCTCACTACCCATTACTCTGTGTGCTGCTTGACTGGCGTAATTTCTAGATGCTGTATTGCAGTCTTTGCTATGAGTTGTGAGAGTGATGATCCCATGGATATTCCTCTGATTTGTTGATATATCTGTCCATCAAATTGAAAGTAGGTAGTGAGGCAGAAATTGAGGAGATCTATGAGTCTGGGTATTTCAATCTTAGTGTATTTGGTTGAATATTGAGGTTGAGTGTGCTGTGTGGTACATGGATTCTACCGTGGATTCTTTCACTAATTCTGGATCTATGGATGGAAGGACTGCTATGACATTGAGTGAAACAATAATGTCATCTTCTATTATTAGATTTCTGATTTTTCTGGAGGTACTGTAGTGGGGGATTGATCAAACATTCACTCCTGTCTGTGAGATATCCAAGTTTTTCATAAGTTATTTGGTTATATTGTATGTTGGTGTCCCTGGTGATGATACAATTGGACAAAGAGGTATGCCAGGCTTGTATATTTTGGGATTTCCATAGAAGTGTGGCCAGAAGGGTCCATTGTTTTTTATCTGCCACTGTTCTTCTTTTGTGATTTGACCTTTCCTGGTTAGGTTGTTGGTCAACCAAACCTCTTGATCAGATTATCCAGCTTCTGTGCTGGTTTGGTGTTTATTAAGATGTAGGTTTCTTTGTCTTTGGATATGTTTCTTTGGATATTTGATGCAGGTCCTATGGTTTTAAGTACTGCTTGCAAGGCTGCAAAGAATTCTAACTAATTAGCATTGTATGCATTAAAGGGTCTGCAGTGGATAGTGGATGGCTAGATATATTAACTACCCATTCAGGTTTGAGTACCTCTTTGCTTCTGGGCTTTAGCTTGAGCGGTTTGGTTTTGGAGTTTTGGTTTCCTTTTTTCAGCTTGTTTCAGAGACAGAACCTTGATGGTGGTTGTAGCATTTTTGTGTTGTTCTGGGGTTTATTCTAGTTGTTCTTTGAGGTTATCTATGCTGTGCTTTGTTTAGACTGAGGTGAGCATCCATGATTATTCACTGTATCATTTTTCAGCCACTTTGTTGAGTCGAAAATATTTTGCTAGTCATTTTGACCTGTTTGAGATCAGCTTCGAAAGTAAGCAAGTAAGGTCATTCACAGTCGGGGAATGTCTCAGTTGGATTTCTGCAAGGCAATATACATAGACTGCCTTAGATGATGGAAGCTTAAAATAATACCAAGCATGGTAGCCAGAATTTGGATTAGGATGGACCACTTTCTGTCTAGTATGGCAATTTAAAAAAAAGATTGCCTGTTTAATTACTTCCAGTTCCATGCAAATTGGGACTTAGTTCTTTTAAAGTCCTAAGTAACTCGGTACCAAAATCTCAGAAACTGTGTGGATTATCATTCAGCTTCTTCTAAGTCATACGCTATTTCAAATGCTGACAAGGAATGTGTGGATTATTTCACTATGGTCATCTGAACCAATATTATTCACAACAATCCACCATAATGCTGAAATGATATCCCGTGTGTGATGGTGCAATCATGCAAATGCCACCAGGATATCTGATAGAATTCATGCATTTCTGGTGATCACATCATTATGTATGTGTCATCATTTGCCCCACTTGCCCTGTCAATGGATGCCCATGATTATTATTATTTTTGCTACTATCTAGGTTCAAAGACCTGCTCTGAGATCATCGGGATTTGGTACTGATCCCCAAACATTTTATTAAGTTTCACACAACATTCATCCATGCTGTGACCTGACAGAGAAAATCATTTAAAAATAATATTGGTTCATTTTGGCCCAGGGGTTGCTTCAGTAATTGTGGCACCAGATGGGGTGATGTCATGAATAACTGTGTTTGATCTGAAACACAGAGTGAGATACTTGTCCCCAACCATCAAAAGAATAGTGTTCCAGAATTATGCAAAGGAAGAGTTCTTTTGTTCATCTCAGGAGAGGTGTCCTGACTGAACAACAGCCAGATCTCAATGGATCACTAATTTCATTGACTTCAGACCAAGTTCAAAGAGATTTGGAAACAGTATTAGAGAATTTAATTTCTTGCCTTCTAGAAGCCTTGTGTTTTGCTTAGAGCTCAAAGTAGCAATCTAAGGGTCTGTTTGTATGCTGAACTGCACAGAAGCAGTTACAGCAGCTGGGTGTGACTTTCTGCTCAGTTGAACCTCCCTCTCAAGAAGTATAATGGCTTTCAAAATTACATCATTGTCCTTTTTTTTTTTTTTTTTTGTCCCTGTCTTTGTGTTCCAAGTTGGCTAGATCGGAGATGACTCATCTAGTTTCCTTTCCAAAACAGAGGAAGGAACACTCCACACTCTGCATCTATCAATGACTCATGCAGGATAAATAGATAATTTGATGTATGCTTTATTCTCTTTAACTGCAGCCAGAGAACTTGAGATAGGGTGGGGAGGGATATTTAACTAAGTAGATGATCTCACTAAAAGAAACCCCTCGTCAGCAAAATCCCTGAGGAATGTTTGTTTTACAGGGTTGAGGCCAGGCTTTTAGCTTTCACCTCTGTCTTCTGCTGGCCCTGGAAGTCAGGTTGCTTTCCTGATTTGGCTGTGAGAGAAAGAACTGTTGATGGGAATGGAAATAAATGACTAAGACTTTCTATGTGTTGCTTATTGCTGTGTATGTTTTTCTTAATAATGGGAAGCACATTATTGTATATTCCCTTCCCAATCAGGCAGGGTCAAATTAGAATGTGTTGGAGAAACTGGGTTGGGCCCACCTACTTCTAACCAGCTACAACATAATGAAGTGGTACAGCTTTGTTAGAGAGGAAGGGGGTGTTGGGATTGCCCATAATTAAACTAACTCCCTTTCTCCCTGCCTATCATCCAGGGACCGATCAAGTTAAACCAAAGATTCTTTTCTCCCCTCAGCAGAGACTCAGTGAACTGAAGCAAACAGCCTAAGAAGTATTTCTCAAACTTGAACTCTTGAAGATGTGTGGACTTCAACTCCCAGAGTTCACAGTTGGTTTAGGAATTCTGAGAACTGAAGTCCACTCATCCTCAAATGGCCAAGGTTGGAAAACACTGGTAAAAGTGGAAGAACCAAAGGGCTTCACCTTTGAGGGACTTCAGAATTCATGCTGAGGATGATTTAACAGGCATGGCTCAGAGGTTCATGGCCTCCATGGATGTCTATAGAAATTGTTTCAAGATCTACTCATGAGGCCTGTCATAGCTTGATCTATTTTTTTTCCTCCCACCCCTTAGGAATAGAATTAATACTTGTGTCATGTATTAATCATTACCTGGTAAAGTTGCAGCCTATTCTCTTCTTAAGAGGAGGAGATCAAATTAGACTAGATTATCTGTAGAGAATGAAGAAACCTAAGGTAGATAACTTTCTTAAACATGGCTGGCCATGAAACCTGTCTTACTGAGAAGTGGAATACCGAAGTCATTAAGTGCTTCATATGGTGGCTCTTGTGTATCTCCTACTCCATGCTAGAGCCCAACGTGCACTATAGTTTACCAAAAACTTGCAAGCAATGAGGCATGCAGGCACTATGGCACAAGTCCAGTGGCTGCTTTCATTCACTGCATAAAGGTGAATTATTCTGGAGCTTAACTAAGAGCAGAATTCCATAGAACAAAGATGATCTATTCTGTGGTCTGGAACTAATGGAGCAGGATCATTATTAGCCATTTATTTACAGTTTCAAATTGTGAATAAACACTTAGATTTCTCCAGTAACATGAAGGGAAGCTTTAGACAATATGGAAAGAGAAGATGAGGGATTTATTTAGTGGCTTATAAAAGCTTGCTTTGGTCACCTATTTTAAAGTCCTTCTTTTTTCTGACCTTTTAAGATATCATCTTAAAAGAATTAATGAGAAAATAATCCATTCTGTAGCTCAAAGTACTCATGGAAAAATGCTTCATTTCTGTGTGAATTTTATATTGAAATACAGAAAAAATACAATATGTTTAAGTAATTGAGGATTTTGCACTCTTTTAATCTTGGTTCACCAGCTTAGAGGAAACGGTCATTTAATTGATCCAGACTTGTCCCAATTACGGTATGTAGAACATATCTTCTAGAACTTAACATAATCAAGTCTGGGGCAGCTCTTCCTACCTTTACTGTTCAGAGGCCTTCTCACAGTGAAACCAAGGGAACATGATAAGTCCTTTATCAGATCAAGTTTATGATTAAGTCAAGGTATTAATCAATTAATCAATGAGGCAAGGTACTGTCCTAGGGAGCAAACCTATGGAAGGGTTGTGTAGTATGATGTTGAGGAATAGATCTTTGTGTGTCAGATGACCAGCTCTATAGGGGTTTGCAGGGGTTGACTCAAGCACTGACATTAAGAGATAAGTGGCTTTTGGTTATCTTTTCAATGTGCAGAAGTGAATGGGTTGCCCCAGTCTAATTCAGGAGGCCAGTGTCAGACTTCAGATTTGGTACGGGGCTGGAAGATGCAAATTGGGTAGGGTCCCATAAGGAGGGAACTTGGGGGGTTGCTTTGTTTTTAGCACAGTTTTTTTTTGTTTTAGCACAGTTTGTTTTTAACTGTGCTAAGCTTATTTAGAGTATTTGTAGAAGTTTTTGTACATTTTCTCTGAAGATGGTAGGAAATTTTATCAGTAGTTTTTAGCAAGCATGACCTCTAGCTTTTCTTCAATTTAAAATCTTGGATTGTCTCTGGATGAAGTGGACATTTTATTTTAATTTGCTGTTTCATTTCAAATGCCATCATTCATTCAACCACTAAGGGTTTTTTTTGAGGGAGCAATGAATTTATTTTCTTCCCCTTCCCCCAATCTGATCATATTTATAATGCATCATTTCTTTGAAGAGGAAAAAGAAAGAAGCCAATACTCACCTGCAAAATAAATCAGTTAAAAGCAATTTTGTCATGCTGACATTTCCTCTGGAATGTAATTGTTTTTCAACAGAGATGAAAAGGAAAGAATAGTTTATATCCTGAAAGCCTTTGAAATGTCTATTCAGGGGACAGACCCAAAGACAAACCCGTGTGGAAGAAGCAGGCAATGTTCCAAGACCGCAGATGGCCCAATATGATAAGTCCATAATGCTGTTCTCCAGGTGCAAATTGCATGCCAGGAGGAATGAGAATGGCTTAGCTAGATCCGACACAGCAAGGTCCACAGAGATGTATTCTTGATTAGGGTCCAGGTGCTAATAGAGAAAATGTAAATCACACAGATTTATCTTCTTTCTTTTCTTGACATGGATCCCTTTGGCCAAGGATACAGAACTTGTTATGATGGACATGATAACAATGGAGTTATAAGATGCTAAAACTTGGAGATTTGATGTATTTTATGAACCCAGCTTAATAGATTCAACTTCTCTTCTGATCCCTTTGGAGGGAGAATCTCTACATTATGTGTTTTCCAACAACCCCATACAATCTATGTTACGATGCATTTGAATAGACCTGAGTGTTGTCTCCTTTTCTCAGATCTATGTTGGCATTTATGCCAGTGTTGTTTCAGGTCCAGAATTTGCAGAGAATATTCATCCAGCAGTATGTGCAGTAGCTGCCCTCAAACGGTTGAGAGTGTTCCTTCACCACCCACCCCAGCACTTTTGTTCTGAAATTCACAAAAAGCAGTCAGTAAAAATAATCTGCCTGCAAACTCCTCCCCAAGCCAAATATTTGTGTATATGTGTTGAGCTACACTGGCTTGGCAATTTGCAAAAAAAAATCAAATTCCCTCCCTGAGAGGCTGCTTTATAAAGAGTGATGATGACAGAAGGTTGATTAGAAACAATGCGAATAGCTCTATGGCTGTAGGGATGCAACTACAATCCTGAATATGCGAACTGTTCTGTTTTGCAGCAATCATGAAGCCAGAGTGGCCCAGGGGAAAATCTTCATATGGAAGGTTGAGTCTGGATGCTGCATTAGCCAGCATCAATGGTGGAGCTGTGTACCGAGGAGCAGGGGACATGGAGGCTTCTACCCCATGGAAATGAGGCTTTCTTCCCTTGGACTGAAAGAAGATGTCCAGTGTAGGAAGTGAGAAAACAAATGTGTAGTAGAGAGGAGTCATTAAATATCTCTTTGTTCCATGATTAATTTGTAGAACAGAAGTTGGGCAATCAGGGATTGTGGGAGTTGTAAGCAAGACAGCTGGAGGGCACCTGTTATAGTGGAGGAGGTGCAAAGCTTCAAGCTGACTCAGAATCACATCCTTCAACATTCTTCCCCCAGAAGCTTGAATGCTGGCAAAGTGACTTTCATACCCTGGCAAGTTCTGATGTGAAAAGAAGTATGTACAGGTAGATGGTTTTTCAGATGACAGAAACCTGCCAGCAATAGTAGATTCAACTGCTTCTTCTATTCCTACCATAGACGCAATGAAAAGAAGACAGTAGAATTGTTAAGAACAAAATCCATGTAGCTTAAATATCAGCTGAAATGTCAGAAGTGGGAAAAGGAGTTGGTGTCCTTTTCATAAATGTGTGATAACTTTGTTCTTTGGCTTAAGTTTTGATTTAGGAAAAATAAATTGCAGTCCTCCAAATTTCTGAAATTTAGAGTAATTAATTTTTCTAGCAAAATATTTGTAGATACTTACATACATATATAAGAGACTATTTGGTTCTAATTAAGGCATCAGGCTACAAACCGGGAAACTGTGAATTCTAGTCTTACCTTGGATGGAAAGCCAGCTGGGTGACCTTGGCACAGTCACTTTCTCTCAGTCCTTGGAAGGAGGCAATGGCAAACCACTTCTGTGAAAAAATCTTGCCAAGAAAACTTCAGAGACCAGTCCAGACAATCTGCAAAAATTGGATATGACTGAACTTAGGAAAAAAAAATACATTCATACTCACTAAGCTAATAATTTTTAAGATAGAAATTATTAACCAGTTAGCTTATCTGAATATAGTTAGCAAACTTTAAATTGCAAAAATGGCTCCACAAAATATATCACATGTGTTGCCTGAGTGAGAAATGTAGTAGTACACCTAAATCTTCCCTTTGGGCTTTTGCTGATTTTAAGTCTAGATTTTACTTTGGGACTTTTAATAGGAAAAAATCAGGGATATTGATACTGACTGATGCCTGCTCTTTCTTTTTTTTTAAAAAAAAAATGACATAAAGATTCCAGAATTAGAATAATGTGTAATCCACAAGGTTCATTATCAGATAAAACCTCTGTATATAAGTGAATTAGAGTTGAATTTTAGCTCCTTTCCTTTCCAATCTATGTATGCATACCTACAAATAAACTCTCAAATTTGATCTTTCAGCATCCCAAAATAGCAGATGTGAATGTTCCACTTGGGCTGAATGCAAAAGACACAGCTATTATTTCAAGGACTCCAGCTGACCTCAAACGAATTTTCAAAGCTTAGTATAATACTGCAGGGAAAACCAGCTGATAACTAATTTTCAAAAGACTACCATGATGTCTTTTGTCAAAAGATTTTGGAACCTAGGAAAACATTTCTGAGGAGAGAAATACTCTTAAGTCTTGCAAGATTGATATAGATGTTGCAAGGTAGTCCAGGCAAGAAGCATGCCCAGATAAACTAATTCTAGTTATATTAAGAGAGTCTTGCAAGACTGAAAATATTTCTCTCCTCTTCTTTTTTTAGCCTCTGGAAAACTAAGGAAGGTCCCTTCTGAAATGCTTCCCATGTTTTTGTTCCACCTGTAGACTGAGCTTCCTCTTATCTGACCACTGTCTGGCTTCCTGTTTTTCTTGTCTCCCAAGGTCATTCACGCATACCATTTACAGTGTGAGAGTGTTTTCATTCTCTAGTGTTTAAAAGGTCAGAAACTATCAAATGGAAATGATAACAAGTAACTTCATTTCCCTCCTACTATCCCAAGGTTGCTTGTCTGCATTTATATATAGTTCATACTTCATCTCCTCAAAGTATTTTTCTGACCCAAAATGAAAGGAAGTCACAAAAAGCACAACTTTCTTCAAGGTCACTGGAACTTAAAAATGTAGACACTGTGCATTCATTCCCATTGGATTCAGTAGGCTTATCTACACTGCCTAGTTCACAGGTTGGCAACCTGCGGCTCCGGAGCCGCATGAGGCTCTTTGAGCCTTCCCCTGTGGCTCCCAGCCTCCTCTGCCTTTGCAGAGAGAGACAGAGACAGAGAGAGGCAATTGCACTTCCCTGCTTCCCTCTCTCTCTCTCTCTCTCTCTCTCTCTCTCTCTCTCTCTCTCTCTCTCTCTCTCTCTCTCTGTGTGTGTCTGGGTGTGTGTGTGTGTGTGTGTTTTGTGTGTGTGTGTGTGTAAAAGAGAGTGCACTCACAGTGTTCTCCGAGGAGCTGAAAAGCTTTCTGGGCGGAGCTCCTCCCTTTGCTGCATCTCTGAAGGAAGCAGGAAGCAGGAAGGGCAGGAGAGAGCTAGCTAGCCCAGCTAGGCTGACTCAGGAATTCTGGGAGTTGAAGTCCATGAGTCATAAAAGAGACGAGGTTGCCTACCCCGGAGGTTGTTGGACAACAGCTTGAAGCTTGCCAGGTGAGCAGCAGATAGGAGGGGGGGGGAGAAAGAGAGAGAGAGAAAGAGAGAGAGAGGGAGAGAGAGAGAGTGGGGGAAGAGGAGTGGCAGACCAAGGGCAGATAGAGAGGGAGGGAGAGAGAGACCCTTTTGACATCTAAAATGAAGATAACACTGCATATATCCTTTTTTTACCTGTGTGTGTATGTAATTTTATTCTCTTAAAGCATTCTCTTGGTGATCATTGTTTTAATAGTATGGATATTCCCAAGAGTCATATTTTTACTTTTATTTTTAATGTGTATATGTGTGTGTGTGTGTGTGTGTGTGTGTATACACACACACACACACACACACACACACATACACACACCTATAATAAAGGTAAAAAAGGATATATGCAGTATTATCTTCATTTTAGATATCAAAAGGGTTTTGCGGCTCCCAGTGTTTTGTTTTTGGTGGGAAACGGGTCCAAGTGGCTCTTTGAGTGTTTTGGGTTGCCTACCCCTGGCCTAGTTAATCTATCACCCGAATGGGCAGACAACTGTTTTCCAAGAGCAGAAATAGATCATTAATTAGATCCATTTGGATTTCTATTATTTCCCTCTTTCCTTCAAAGTGACCTTATGGCATGTTACTCTGCTCTACTTCTGAAGTACATTTTCCTTTACTAACCCACCTTGTATACACCTGTCTACTTGGTACAAAGTATGTCATTGGTTGCAGGCTAACTTCAACAGTTCATTGGCTACTTTCCAGAGGAAGGACCATCCCTCACCATGCAAATTAACAGTAGTGCTTTGAATTGTAACAAATAGGCAATTGGCTCCATGGCTGATCTTTTAAAACAGGCATCAGTTGATCTTTATACATCAGTCAAATAAGGGTTCTAAAGACTTTCAATAAGATTCTTAATTTTAGCTTAGCCAAGCTAAACACTGAATTTATTAATGGTGAAATAAACAATTTTGAAAGTGCTGAAATGAAGTTGTGAAAATATTTTTATCATTTTAATCCAAGTTGATATATAAGCATAAAAGTGAAATGTTTCTTCCAAACCAAAAACTAAAAAAACCCCTATTTGTGGAACTTGCAATTCCTTATGTAGCTTTTGCATAACTGAAGTTAATTTCAGATAAATCATGAAAGGTGGATCAAGACTGTTTTGAGATAGGGCAAGTAAATATGTGTATGGAGTGATATTCAGGTATGTTTATTCATTTATTAGTCATACATAAACATGTAAACAACCCCCCCAAACTTGCACACACAAATAAAGTTATGCCTAGGAAGCTTATACTATTCTAAAATTACACTTCAAAAATGAATTAAAACTCAAATAATAAACACAGAGTGTATAACCAATAATAGGATAAATAAAAATATTCAGCATTACAAAACTAAGGATAGTGATATAATAATACAAAAAAAACCCAGCTCTGGTCAATGTAAATATCTTTGCCTGGCACAGGAAGGATGCTGAAATAACAAGAAAAGGCAAGCTACAGCTAGGGTGGGGGTACCCATGAAAAGACCTTCTTGGGGATGTCCACTAATTGCCCCTCAAGTTATATCATCCAGAAAAAGAACTTAACTTAACTTTGATCCCAGACAGGCAGAATGGTCTGCACTGCAGAAGTGATTAAGAAGCATCATGAGCCATCTAGCCTCCTGGCCAAAAATCTATCACTATTCCCTTTTGCAAAGCAAAAATGAGATAAATGGTTCAGATTGCTGTTGTTTTTTAGCGTGAACAAAGAAAATAAAATGTAAACAAAGTGTCTTATAAATCAAAGCAATCCTTTTCCTTCTTCACTGTTACATTTTGGGTAAGTAAAACAAAGTATATGGAAGGCAGAATGAAGAATCTAGGCTTGTACAAGTTGAGTCCCCCTTAATTGCAGATGGCGTTCTCGCACCTTCTCTGTTCTTGATTTGGCTTGCCACTTCTTCAAAATTTCCTTGAAAGAACTTCTCTTTTTTGTAATGTTAAGTGCATACTGTATCATTTTATGCCATTTAAAAATGGATTTTTTTTCCCCTCCTTTGTTTTTCCACCAGCTGAGCTGCACATTTCTAGCTATGGGTAGGGCACTTCAGCAGGTCTTTCTTATCGTCTTGTCTTATCTTGTCTATCTAAATTTTATTGTTGCTTGTGGTAAGAAAGTTATAGTTTTATCAGCTTTATCACTCCTTTTTACAACACCTAGAGACAATATTTGCTTAATATTCCATCCAAGCATTTTCCCAATATTATTCATATTATTTGATTAAAATGCTCAGTAAATGCCCAGCTCCATTCAGTTGCCCAGACTCCATCCCAATAAAAGGGTCTACTGTAGGGGTGTCAAACTCAATTGTGTCACATGACGTATCGTGACTATCGCGACTTTTTTTGCCTTTGTGGAGCCAGGGTGGGCATGGCCTATGCATGACGCATTCAGCCTGCCGGCTGCCAGTTTTTCACTCCTGGTTTACTGGATCGTAAAAAGAAAAAAAAATCATACTCTTTGGTTGGCCTTGGTGATTATCTTGTTGTGGAGTCAGCTGTGGGCTTTGCCTTCCTCTTATTCTCAATCCTGTGTTTTTGTGAGCTCTTGGTGATTTTTCTAGCTTATTTCAGTTGATATTACTCAAATGTGTAACTCCAAATCAAAGTTTTAGTAGGGCTAATGGAAAGTGGAAAGAAATGATCACAGCATGTAAGTTATCACAGCATTTCCCAAACCACTGAATCATTTCTGTAACACTGGCCTTCAAAGTGGATAATGGTTAGGGGCAATGGTTCGTACAAACTTATTTGTACTGGACTACTGCAATGCACTCTACATGGGGCTATCCTTGAAAAGTATTCGGAGACTACAGTTGGTCCAGAATGCAGCCACATGAGTGATAGTGGGTGCTCCTCGGTACATCCACGTTACACCTCCGTGAGCTGCACTGGTTGCCTATTGGTCTCCGGGTCCAATTCAAGGTGTTGGTTATTACTTTTAAAGCTCTATATGGCTCAGGGCCAGGCTATTTGCTAGACCA